TAGTGGCCGCTGCCGTCCCAGTAGCAGATGAAGATTCCGTGCGCGGTGCGCAGGTACGGCTCGCCCTGTGGGTGCAGGTGGGGGGCTCAGGCGGGAGGGCGGTGCGCCATGGGGCCTCCCCGCTGCCCCCCACGTACCTCCTTCGTGTAGAACTCCATGAAGTCCACCGCGTAGCCGTCTTCCTGGAGCGCGATCACCAGGTCCACCACGGAGGTGAAGGCGAAGACCGCGAAGACTGTGCAAGGAGAGTGGGCGGAGCCAGACCAGGTGTGGGCGGGGCCATCCATGTGTAGGCGGGGCCACCCCAGGTGTGGGGAGAGCCAGTCTGGGTGTGGGCGGGGCCAGGCTGTGCAGGGGGCGGGGCTGTTCCCGCCCACAGGTTCCTTGACCACGCCCCGCCTCCCTCTGCGTGTCTGCAGGAGGGTGAGGCCGCCCAGCCTTAACTCAGATGTCTCTGGACTAATGTGGGAGGCCCAGTTTTTGTCTTTGGGGGCCCCCAGTCTCATGGGAGAGGAAACATCCCTACCCTCCGGAGATCCCCCAGTTCGATAGGGGAAGACTCAGTTTCTCAAGAGCCCCAAGGAAAGGGGCCGGCAGGTGGCATGGTGGTTTAGGGCACTGAACTCCCACATGGCTGACAGCAGTTCAAGTCCTGGATCTGGTGGCTTGTTTTCTCTCTTTCTCTCATTCTGTCCCTCGCTGATCAAATTTTTAAAAATAAAATAAATAAAGTTAAACAAAATAATTCTTTTTTTGGGGGGGGAGAGGTTTTTGCTATGGGGCGCGTGTGCTCGCCAGACAGACAGAGAGAGACAGAGACACAGAAAGCGAGAAATCACCCCCCGGGGGTATGGCCACGCCACAATCCCTTCTCCTCCATTATCTTGAGCACGCACACACACGCTCCCAGCGTGAGTTTAAGCCACAGGGTCAGGGACGCGAACCGTGGTTGACTACGTGGGAATCCAGCAACAGCCATTACGCTAACTGCTGGTCCCAAATAAAATAATTCTTTTTTTTTTTTCTTTTTCTTTTTTTGGAGAGGTTTTTGCGATAGGGCACGTGCGCTCGCCAGACAGACAGAGAGAGACAGAGAGACAGAAAGCGAGAGATCACCCCACCGGGGGGATGGCCATGCCGCAATCCCTTCTCCTCCATTCTCCTCTCAGGATCTTGGGCACGCACGCACACGCGCCCGGTGTGAGTTTAAGCCACTGGGTCTGGGACTCGAACCACGGTCGACTACATGGGAGTCCAACGACATAGCCATTACGCCAACTGCTCGTCCCAAATAAAATAATTCTTAAAAAAAAAAAAGAGCCCCAAGGTGAAGGGTCTGAAGTCTCCAAATCTCTTTGAAGTCTCTGGCCTGAATGGGAGCTTTTATTTTATTTATTTACTTATTTATTTATTTGCGATAGGGCTCATGTATTTACAGGAGAGAGACAGAAGAAAAGTGAGAAATCATCCTGCCGGAGAAGATCAAACCACAATCCCTTCTCCTCTAATCCCAGACTTTTGGGCACACATGCACACATGCCTGGCATGAGTTTCAAGCCACCAGGTGCAGAACTCAAACCGTGGTTAGCCATGTGGGAGTCCAGCAATGTAACACCATCTGCTGGGCCCTCTTTTGAATTTTTTTTCAAAATCGTTATTTATTTATTTATTTATTTTAATTTGACCAGAGAGAGACAGAGTGAGAGAGAAAGTGAGAAAGCAAGCCACCAGGTTTGAGACTCGAACCGTGGTTGGCCATGTGGGAGTCAACACCCTTAACCACCACGCCACCTGCCGGCTCCCCCTCTTTTTAAATTTTTTAAGAGTTTTTTTGCCTTAGACGCCTGTGCTCACCGAGCAGAGAGAGACGGCGACAGAGGCAGTGAGAAGGAAAGTGAGAAATCACCCCCAGGGGGCATGGCCGCATTGCAATCCCTTCCCCATTCTCCTCCTAGGATCTTGGGCATGCATGCACACGTGCCCGGCATGATTTTTTTTTGGAGAGGTTTTTGCTATAGGGCGCATGCGCTCGCCACACAGACAGAGAGAGACAGAGAGACAGAAAGCGAGAAATCACCCCCCAGGGGGGATGGCCACGCCGCAATCCCTTCTCCTCCATTCTCTTCTCGGGATCCTGGGCCCACACACACATGCACCCGGCGTGAGTTTAAGCCACCGGACCCGGGACTTGAACCGTGGTCGACTACATGGGAGTCCAGCAACACAGCCATTATGCCAACTGCTGCCCCACCCCACCCCCCCCGGCATGATTTTTAAGCCACCAGGTCTGGGACTCAAACCACAGTCAGCCATGTGGGAGTCCACTGACATAACCACTATGCCATCTGTTGGCCCCCTGGCATGATTTTCAAGTCACTGGGTCTGGGGTTCGAACTGCAGCAAGACGTGCAGGAGCCCCGCACTTTAACCACCATGCCACCTGCTGACCCAGTGATGGGAGCTCTTTATCTGACCGAGGAGGTCCCTCAAGGGTCCCCAGGGTGAGGGCTGAGGCCTTTGCCCCTTCCCTCCAACCTCCCCCAGACTCACCTGCGTAGAGCGGATCATAGTAGATTTCGCTGCGGGACAAGCTGTAGACGGTCGTAAAGAGCAGTCCCAGGATCAGGGCGCTCATCAGCGCCACCCCCAGGGGGCTGTGGAGAGGGGAACCAAGTCAGGGAGGCCAGGCCCAGTGCAGAGGCCTCACCCAGCCCTCCCTAGTAGAGGGAAAGCATAGACGCCAGGAAGCTTCCAGTGGTGAGGCCGAAATGTCTATGCAGCAATCAGCACCGGTTCCTGAGACCACGCTCGCCCGTCACCAGGCTCTTGTCCAGGCTGTTTGGTTTTGTTTTTAGAATTATTATTATTTTTTCCTTTTTCTTTTTTTTTTTTGGAGAGATTTTTGCTATTAGGGCACATGCGATTGACAGAGAGACAGAGAGACAGAAAGTGAGAAATCACTCCCCAGGGCGGATGGCCATGCTACAATCCCTTCTCCTCCATTCTCCTCTCGGGATCTTGGGCATGCACGCACACGCGCCCGGCGTGAGTTTAAGCCACCGGGTCCGGGACTCGAACCGCGGTCAACTATATGGAAGTCCAGCAACATAGCCATTACGCCAACTGCTGATCCCAGTGCTGGTATCATTTTCAAGTTAGCAGGACCACGGCTTGAACTGTATGAAGTTAGCCATGTGGGATCCCGCCCCCTTAACCTCCATGCCACCTGCTGGCCCATGATTGGCTCAATATGCTGTCAATCATTCAACAACACCTAGCTCCTCTGTAGACGCCCTGCTCCAACCCGGGGTCCACAGAACTGAGGTTCAACTCTACCGACTGACTGAGGATCGCGGCTCCTCCTGGCTAAAGTCCATATGTCTTCATCAACTCCACCCAACTCTTGCCCAGATCTGCCCCACCAACCTGATAAGACAGGTCAATCAGGGGCCAGCAGGTGGCATGGTGATTAAGGGGCTGGACTCACATATGGATGACAACAGTTCTAGTCCCAGACCTGGTGACTTGCTTTCTCACTTTCTCCCTTTCTCTCTCTGTGGTGAACACATATGCCATATACCAAACTTAGAAATTAGAGACCAGCAGATGGTGTAATAGCTACATTGTTGGACTCCCATGGAGTTGACCGTGGTTCACGTTCCGGACCCAGTGGCTTAAACTCGCGCTGGGTGTGTATGCATGTGTGCCCAGGATCCCGAGAGGAGAATGGAAGAGAAGGGATTGCGGCGTGGCCATCCCCCCTGGGGGGTGATTTCTCACTTTCTGTCTCTCTGTCTCTCTCTGTTTTTCTGGCAAGTGCACACGCGCTATAGCAAAAGCCTCTCAAAAAATAATTAATTAATTAGATTTAATTAATAATTTAAAGATATATACATAGGCCAGCAGATAGTGTAGTGGTTAAGGCACTGGACTTACACATGGTCAACCATGGTTCAAGTCCTAGACCCTATGGTTTGAAACTCACACCAGGTGCATATGCATGCATGCCCAGAACCCCAAAAGGAGAGTAGAGGAGAGGAGATTGTGGCATGGCCATCTCCTCTGGGAGAGTGATTTCTTGTTTTCTGTCTGTTACTTTCTGTCTCTCCAGTGAGCACACGTGTTCTATAAGAAAAATCTCTCAAGGGGCCATGAGGTGACATGGTAGTTAAGGGCATTGGACTCCCACATGGCTGACTGTGGTTCAAGTCCCGGACCTGGTGGCTTAATTTTCACTTTCTCTCTCTCTCTTGTTCTGTCTCTCTCTGATCAAATTAAAATAAATAAATAAGTTAAATAAAATAATTTTTTATTAAAGAAAATTAAAAGGAAGAGGGGCCAGCAAGTAGCATGGTGGGTAAGGGCACTGGATTCTCACATGGCCGATCGTGGTTTGAGTCCTAGACCTGTTGGCTTACTTTTTCATTATCCCTCTTTCTCTCTTTCTCTGTCCCTCTCTGGTCAAATAAATAAATAGTTGAATAAAATAATTCTTTTTTTTTTTTTTTTTGCTTTAGCATGCGTGCGCTCATCAGAAAGACAGAGAAGAGAGAGAGAAAGCAAGAAATCACCCCCCAGGAGGGATGGCCATGCCGCCATCCCTTCTCCTCCATTCTCCTCTCAGGATCTTGGGCATGCACGCACACGCGCCTGGCGTGAGTTTAAGCCACCGGGTCTGGGACTCAAACTGCGGTCAACTCCAGCACTGTAGCCCTGAAGCCAACTGCTGGTCCTGATCAAAGCTTTCCTCTAACGACCGTGGCTCAGACTGAGCTGGGTTTGGGAGTTGGAGAGGCTGGCAGGTGTCTGATACCCGGTACCTGGACCCACAGGCCCTAGGACAGAGGCGTTCCCGGGCATATAGGGGAAACCGAGTCTTGGGACAGTGTATGCCCGCCTTGAATGATAAGAAAATGCCAGGCCTGAGACCAAGGCAATGAAGCCAGCTCAGTGTGGGTGGCAGCCAGAGCCAGATCACTGCAGCCTTATCTGGGACAATACTTTGACCCTTGGCGTCAGCGGAGCCGGTGCTGGGCGCATCCCTGGGTTAAAAAAAAAAAAAAATCTGCAAAATGTCCCAAGCTGGGCCTTGCACAGGGGTCTCTGCTCCTCAACATCTCTTCTCCCCAACCCCAGACTTCCCAAAACAGACCCCCATCCCAGCTTCCAGCCTGGTGGAAAGAGAACTTCCGGTTAGAAAGGAGCGTTCTGGCCCAGCTCCCATCTTCCCGGGGGTGGGGGGTGGGGTTCGGAGCTGGGCAGGGGCGCGGAGCTCGCTGGAGCTCGCAGGAGCTCGCTGGAGCTCGCAGGAGTTTGCAGGAGCTCGCGGGAGCTCGCAGGAGCTCGCTGGAGCCAGGCCCGCCGCCCGCGCATCCTCCCTCCAACCC